TCTCTCTCTCTCTCTCTCTCTCTCTCTCTCTCTCTCTCTCTCTCTCTCGTGCGCGAGCACACACCCACACATTCTACCTTTGAAAGTTTCTCAAATTTAGCACTATAGATGATTTGGACTTGATATGATCTTCCACATAATAGAAACAGTGGGAGGCTGGGGAGATAGCTCAATAGTATAAGTGCTTCCCTGGCAAGTGCAAGGGTCTGAGTTCAATCCCCGGTTCGGCCAAACAAAAAAAAAAAAAAAAAGAAATAGTGGGATATTTATCAGCATAATTAACGTCTAGCTATTAAATGTCAGTAGGGCTATACTTCCCCATTACAATTGGAATTGAGTTTCATTAGCCACTCAAGAATAACATTTAACAGTAAAACTTGCCTAGTTGAGAATCCCTGTTTTATGTATCTCCACTTGACTTTATTTCTAAACGTTTTTATTTGTGAAAGATTGATTTCCTTTGAAATGTGATTCCTTAGACATTTCACCAGAATCTTCTTTATTTTATATTTGCACTTAAAAAATCTCCCAGAGACAGTACATGAAATCTCTTTCTATGAGAGAATTGCAAGTAAAAAGCAAAGAAATAGGTCAACTTGCACTTCTTAGGTCAGCTTGTATTACAAAAGACACATGTGTTGGCAAGGGAAGAAGAATAGGAAACCCTTGGATACCACTGCGTTGGGGGCTGGAAGAGTATTGCAGTAATCTCAACAAGCACTGCACTGTGGAGTTTCCTGCAGCTAGAAATGATGAATGGAATGCGTGGTCTTTCTGGCAAGAATAAAAGGAAGATGTAGTCATGGCCACCATCACCACAAGAAAACGTGGATTCATTACAGAAAAGACAGTGGGAGAAAGGGAAATAAATACACTTTCCTATACAGAGTCTGCTAAGTAAAATCACCCTAAATCATTTCAGTATGAGGTAAATCCTAGTAAACACAGATGTTAAAATATGAAGTAACATTTCTACAACCACCCATAAGGCACAATTTTCTGAGTAAAACAATGTTTATTGTCGCATTGAAAAAGAACAAATTGAATCAGCACTTTTAGATACTTAACAGATACTAGCACGCTCATTCAATAACTCACCATTCCCAAAATGTATTTCTTAGCACTGAAATTTTTATTAAAGTTGGAACAGGACTTAAAATGGGAACAGAAGTGGATTTTTTGTTCCACTCTTCTCAATCTGGACGGTACCTACGCCTGACCATGCACAGTGACTTTATTGGCTTTCTGCCTGGTCCTTCCCGTTCCATCCTGCACATCCAAACCATGCACCAGTAACTCAGCATTCAACTGCTCTGCAACACACTGAAATTCACATTCAGTCTTTAACTAGCACCTTTTGTCCATTCATCTGTTGTTTGGAATGTCTTAGATCCCCAGCTAGGACCCCGGTGACACACTTCCCCTTCCAGACAAAACGATCTGTTGTGTACTCATGGTTGGTGGTGCTCACTGAGTCTCTAGCTGACAGTCAACAAGAAAATGAATCACAAAATATTGATTGTGAAGACCAGGTATGGTGGAGCATGTGTGTAATCCCAGCGCTGGGGAGGCTGAAACAGGAGGACCACTACGAGTCTGAGCTGCATAGCAAGACCTTGTACCAAATACATTTTTAAAAATATGAATTGTGCATATGGTGGTCGGGGTCACAGGACAGCTACAGCCAGCTGGGTAGCATCATGCAGGACCCTGTGTCAAAGACTAAAATATAAAAATGAAAAAGGTAACATTATTTTCAAAAACCCAAAGGGCGGACCAAATAGTTTAGCAGATTAAAACACCTGCAAGCAGATACAAGGGCCTGGAGTTGGATCCCTGAGCCAGCTGTGCCCACCCTGCCCCGGGGACACACTGAGACAGCAATTGAGACTGGGCGTGGTGGCTCATGCCTCTAATCCCAGCTTTTGGGAGGATATAAACAGGTGGATCACCATGAGTCTGATTCAGTAGTGAGACCCTGAACTCACTGTAGACCCTTCACTAAAATACAAAATAAAATAAAATAAAAGTAGAGTTATTCCTTTAGATGTAGATAATTAAGTCCAGAAATTCTTCTAATGAGAAAAAAGTGGACATTGAGACTTTGCAATGTTCGATATGTGTTTATGAGAGATCAACAAAGTTATGGACAAGTGCTCGTTCCCTTGCCTGTCAGGCAGATGAAAGCTAGGAGAACGATGAGATAAGGCAACCGGTGGATTCTCATTTGTGAATTTAATAATCAGCATGCTTTCCTTTATAAAATCATGATGAAGATGTGAAAAATCAGATTTCAAAATAGCTGTTATTAATATTAAATGCAAAAAGTGTAGAGATATCAGTTTCTGCTAAACATAAAGGTGCACGTATTTTATCATCCCAAAATTCCAAAACAACTTCGAGAATAAAGAAAAATTAATGCATTTGTTAGCAAAATGCCATACAAAGTGCTTACAATCGGCATATCACAATAACCCTAAACTCCACTATATGTCCTACGGAGAAGACTAAGACTCTTTAGGCACTGATGCAGTGGAGTGACCCACCAAACTACAGACACGCCAGGGATGAGACTCCACACACACATGCCTAGCAGATGGAAGAGAACCAACAGCACACACAGTGTGGTTTCACGGACTCAAAATTAAAATCAGAGAAATTAATGTGAGAATTAAATTCAGGCCCACTGATGGCAAGATGAAGAAGGGATATTGTTTGAGGGAAGCTATATGAAAATTTTCACAAAGACAAAAGAATCACGGTATGTGAGGAAAACCAAGACCTGGAGCTGCTTTGTACTGAGCACAAATACGTAACGATTAGGTAAATGGGAAAATCATTTTTTTTTTTTGTCCAAAACTGAATATTTTACTCAGTAAAATTTTGAGTTGCACTGTGTAAATATCTCTAATTTCTCTGCATATGGAAATCAATGAAGAACACATGCTTGAAAGGGAAGCGATGAGGGTCCTCGTGTTCAGTAGGCTGCACTCTGCGTGAGAATGGACTGAACAGTGTGCGGGTTCTCCTGTCAGGCGATGCGACTGTGGGGTAGGCACTGGGACAAATCGCCAACTCCTCATAGAGTCAGCTTTTCTCGATAAAGAACATGTGTTTTACTGCCAGTCCTATGGAAAACCCACTACTGTTATGGACCTCTGGCTGTATTGGAATATTTTGCTGAATTCTCAGACCTACAATACTTAAATGACAATGGAATACCCATCTCTAACAAAACTAAACAAAAAATGAGGATACAACAGAATGACCATTTTGTATCTGTATATTCAAAATAGTTATGATAGATACACAGCTGCATTCTCTTAATTCAGTGAGAAGAAAGTGTCGTTGTAATAGTGTTTGTGGACAGGATATCAAATCTGCATCTTGTACTATGAATAACCACTAAAACAACAATATGCAATGTATTAATTATTGTAACTGTCCTACTAATAGGTTTTGAAACTATCTCATTGCTATTGTTTCTCAATAAAATTATTTTTAAAAAATAAAAAATAAATGAGACTCCAAAAGGCCACCCTCTGTACCTACGAGAGAAAAAATAATTACTATGAAACTGCATTCAGAATAACTACCAATTCACACAATTCTAGTAAGCCCTAGTGAACACCATTTTATATTCTAAGAGACTTCAAAGGAGACATAGCAAGGAAGAAGACATTATTTCATACAAATGTGGAATCAGGTAAATAAACACCAGACATTTAGATCTCAGCACTAACCCCCAACAAGAGTAAGGCAATTTTCAAGTAAATAAAAGAAAACCTGCTTATTAAAACAAAATTTAGCAGTTTCAAAGGAGTTTTAAAAGTTCTGAATTTTACTAGCAAATTGATTCTAATACTTATCATCCAAAGAGCTACATATTTGCATTTTGAAGAGGTGGGAAAGTATTACCCAACACTATAGGTATAATCGATTATCAGTATCAGAGAACATACAATTGAGATTATGAAGGTAATGCACAGGGCTTTAAAATAATTAC